CTATCTATCTATCCCCATCCACCCCATCTATCTATCTATCTATCCCCATCACCCCATCTATCTATCTATCTATCTATCTGTCTGTCTGTCTGTCTCGTGGCAGTTAGGGCAGCAGACGGCCGCTCACTGGCATGTGCCTCTGGGTGTATCTCGCAGCGTCCCATCCTGTGGCTCCTCCGGCGGCTGTCGGGGGCGGGGCCGGGGGTCGCCCCGAGGCCGATGATAACGACACAGCGATGAAGCTGATAGAGGCCAAGGGTCTGGTCTGCGCGTGTGGCTTTGCAGAGAAGGGCTGAGCGCGGATTTTCAGCCCACGGGCGCGCCCTCGCACGGGCTGGGTCTGTCTCCGCCGGGGCTTGGCTGCAAGGGCTAGAGGGCGAAAGGAAAGAAATGGGGGAGGGGGGGAGCTTCTGGTATTCCACAGGCTCGGCGAGCCGCGAACCCCGGACAGAAGCGGCTCCCCAGCAGCCCCCTCTGCCTGCCCTTGTCCTGCCTGGAGTGCTCGGCGCTGCACCGAGGTGGGTGCGCGGCCAACCGGCCCCGGGCAGCTCTTCGGGGTTGCTTCAGAAGCACAAACAATCCAGGAGAACCCGAGGAATGACAAGTCGTCTCCCCCCCGCCCCCAGGCAGCCGCCAGCGCTTGTTACCGCCCAACCCCCACTGGGTCCAGGGCCGGAACAGGCAATCCGCGGTCCTGAGCGCACTGGGGCAGCCCCATGGAGCGCCCATCGCCCCCCAGGGGCAGCCTCAAGGCCCCCTCCGCTGGCGAGGAGAGGCGGCCGCACTGGGTGCCCAGTACAGTACTTACCCCAACTGCGGGGGTGCGCTGCACGCGTCGGAGCAATCGGCCCAGGCGCTCAGCAGACCCAGGCAGGCCCCGCTGCATTAGCCGCACTTGGGGCCGCTCCCCGCGGGAGTTGTAGCTTTTTTGTCAGTTACTCGGGGAAGCGGCTCCTCGCGGCGCTATTGTCTCGGGCCCCCGCTGCCTCGAGCAGATGGCGGCGTGTTTCTGACCCGCGCCTCAGTTCCCAGGAGCCTATTCAGAGCACGAGGCCTAGACATTCAATCCAGTGACCCCGGGACCTGCCCACCCCGCCCCGCGCAGGCCGATAGCGCCTGTTGGGCCCGACTGCGTCTGCGATGATCCGGGCGCCCGAGCTACCCCCAGCCGAAGGCGGCTCCGGCAGCTGCCGCCGCCCGGGGGATCCTGACACCCTCCTTGGGCCAGGCTGGAGCCCGGTGGGGCGAGACCGCTCGGCCTGGCTCCGCTACCCCCCGGGGCGTCTGCCGGCTGCACAACCCGCCCCCCCTTCGCTAGCCCTGGCCGGCCACCCCGCCGCTCAGCCTTACTCGGGGCCGAGCCGGGCACCCCGGGAGACAGGCCGGCTGGGACGAGCTTGCACCGGGTGCCAATCCAGAGCGGGGCAGAGGCAGCGGGGGCAGTGGCAGGAGGCGCTGGGAGGGAGCAGAGGAGAACCAGGGGCTGTAAGCGGGCACAGGGCCAGGGCGGCCCTGAGGATGCGGGGAAAGGAGCGGAGACCCAGTGCATCCATGGCCCGCTCCCACCCACAAGGGCTCGGCGCTGCAGCCTGGCCAGGAAGGAGGCGCACACCGGGTACTCGCTCCGCGCACCCCCGGTACCGCCCCGCGCACCCCCGGTACCGGCCCCGGCGCACCCCTGGCACCCGCCCGGCGCACCCCCGGCACCCGCGGCGCACACCCGGTACCGGCCCCGCGCACCCCCGGTGCCCGCCGGCCGGCGCTA